CACAGCTAGGTCTGGGCAAAACTTGGCTGGGAGACTACCACAGAAAATTCAAGATGCTGCAGAAAGTGGTTTTCATGTTCTAGTACAAAGCACCCTTCCTGTTGAGAACCAATGGCTCAGAACTGTGTTGGGGGGTCGGCTGACCACTTGTACAGTCATGAAAGCTTCCATGTCATTTTTTGCAAAAATAGATGTTAACCCTGATATCCTGGCTAGCACTTTGGGAACTTCATAATGCAAAGAAGCTTTATAAATGTAAGGTGGCACTCTTGTAAATGATTATTGATTAAATTGATCAGCCACTAGGACGATCAGAATCAGAAAACAGCGTATGGGATCTCCCTAAGGATTCATCTAATCAAGTACTGGATAATACTGTTGTCTCAGAAGAACTCTGACTGAAGGTCTTTTATGTGGCTGTGAAAGGAGCAGCTGCCTTTATCTGAATATGTACAGGATCTATGTTTCCTACTTCATGAACTTGGACTGATCCTGTCTAGATGTGAAGGGTCCGCTGGCCCTACGTCCCCTGCAACTATAATACATCCGTGTTTAGGGAACATTTTGATGTTGCTCTTTATTTTAACATTATTGGCATAAGAACAAGGAGAAATGTTCTTTATTTAGACCCAATTATTAATTATCCATCATGGGAAGGAATGTGGGTCTGCATGACTGATTCTGGCAAGGGAGAAACAGATCTAAGAAGAACCAGATTTGCTTTTGAGAGAAGGAGCCCAAATTTTTCTTCCAAACATCTGTGTTTTTATCAGAGGGCTGGGGCAAAGGATGGGAATATATTCACTTATCATTTGTTCCTTGTGTCTGATGAGGCCCTGCGGGCTGTTGTTTCAACCAGGAGGAGAATGGCATTTGCCTGCCTTATGTCTGCCGTTACACTGGGGTGGGTGGGTTCTGAAGTGTGGAGTCCAGCTGCTCTCTTTGGAAAGGCAAATTAGGAGATGGGAGAAGGAAAGGCTGGAGACTAAACCAAGACCCTGGCAGCAGTTTAGAATCAACTGGAGAGAGCTGTCCTGTGACTGCTGGGTAAGGAGGACCCAGTTTGGATACAATAAGATTTCCTTTTATCGTCCCAAACCTTTGCTCAAACCGGTTTTAAGGGCTGGAAAAGTATAGTCAATGTTTATTTTCTGTGGCTTTTTTTGATCGTCTTGCCATTCTGCTCTTCCAGGTTCTGGCCAGGACCAGACGCAGAAGTGCTGAAATAGCATGAGGATGAGGGTGCTTGTGGTATTTCCAGGACAAGAAGAAGAAAGCCGAGAGGTTGTTCTCTTGCAAGATCTGCACAGTTTTGCAGGCCCACCAGGTCCATTTAGTTCAGATAGGCATTTACATTCCAGGGTGTTTACCTGAGCCTTGATGGTACATCTCGCTTGTTAGTGTACCTGGTAATGGGTGATAATGATGATGTCGAGTAGTAAAGATTCTTCCATTTGCTGCTTCTCTCTCTCTCTCTCTCTCTCTCTCTCTCTCTCTGCAGGTGCCTTCTTTATCCCCTACCTCATCTTCCTCTTCACTTGTGGGATCCCAGTGTTCTTCCTGGAGACAGCGCTAGGACAGTACACCAGCCAGGGAGGGATCACCGCCTGGAGGAAGATCTGCCCTCTCTTTGAAGGTGAGTCAATGAATGGGTTTCTCGGGTCCACGATGGTAATTTCTGGGTCTCATGGGTTTTTGTGTGAAAAATTTCAAAAGGTCTAGTTCTTGTTCTGAAGCAGAACAAAAACAAATGATAAAACCTGGACTTTTTGTGAAATGGAATTCTTGTTTTCTGGACAGCTTTACTTTAAAACCACAGAGAATTAACCTCACAACTATCCTGAAGTTTTATGATCCCCATTTTACAGATGAGGAAACTGAGGCACAGAACGATTAAGTGATTTTCTCAGATTGGCATTTGCTGATATTGGCAGAGCCAGGATTAGAAGCTCCCACCTAGAATCATAGAAGATTAGGGTTGGAAGAGACCTCAGGAGGTCATCTAGTCCAACCCCCTGCTCAAAGCAGGACCAACCACAATTAAATCATCCCAGCCAGGGCTTTGTCAAGCTGAGCTTTAAAAACGAATAAGGATGGAGATTCCACCGCCTTCCTGACCCTATGGTTTTGCTCTGGCCACATTCTTTGGGCGTGGGATGTAGTTAGCAGTGAAAACCCTTTTTATTTCTGATTTCTCCACCGTAATGAACCTCATCTGGATCTCCCACCCTCAACCTGAGTCTTACAGGATTCTTTGGTGAACCAAATTGCTCATTAATCTGCCCTGCCCGCAACTCCAGTGGGACGGCCTATGGCACTATTTGAAGCTAAAGTCTGATATATTTGGGGCTCACCTAGGGGCCCATTTCCTAACCCCTGTCACTTTCCCTCTTAGGAATTGGATACGCCTCACAAGTCATCGAATCCTATCTGAATATCTACTACATCGTCATCCTATCTTGGGCTATCTTCTACCTATTCAGCTCCTTTACTGCTGTGCTTCCCTGGGCCACCTGTAATAATCCTTGGAACTCAGGTACAACTTCAGCTAGTCTGCTTCTGGAAAGAGGATCTGGGTTTGAAAACTTTCCATCAAAACTGCTTTTTGACAGAAAATTGGGTATTTGATTAAACACATTTTTCTTTGCACTGTTTGCTTTATGTGGAAAATTTTGAATTTTCATTGAAATATTCAGCTGAAAACTAAAATATTTTGATTTCAAAATGCAGTTGTGGGCCAAATGGGTGTTGTTTG